CGAATCTGCTGATCCGACTGTTGGTTGGTTGTGTGCTGCTGCTTCATTGTGTCCTTGACGACGTCCATGTCCACTTCCAATACGTTTACACAATCCGCCAAGTTGGAGGGTCCCGCGGGTGTGGCTGCTGCAGGCTGCTGTTCCAGTCTGCGCACGCGGTCGAGCAGGTTGGCGATGAGCTAAGCCTGCTGTTTGACCAGCGTGTCTACGCAGAGGATGTCCTCTTGCTGAGCTGTGCACGTGGCGACTAGATCGGTCACATGTGTGAAGCCGGCAGCAATGCCGCGCACAGCGTCGGTGGCATCTTTTTTCTGCTTTGGCAGCCACCCCCCAATCGCCGGCTGCTACCTCGATATTGCCCTCGTTTTCAAAGAGTGCGTCTCGGCGTATTCATCGTTGCTGGTCTGCAGCCTTCTTTGCTGCCTCAGCGTCCTCTAATTGCTTTCTCTCAGCGAGGCGACGCTGTTCTTCGGCCTCTTCCTCCTTCCTTTTCCTTGCAGCTGTGGCCGCATCTGCCCGCTTCTTCCATTCGGCTAGTTGGTCCAGCACGCGGGCTCATAGGCCTCCTCAGTTCCCCTTGCTTCTGCTCCATGTCGCCCATCTTTGAGCAGGTGATGGCTGGCATTTGCTGCAGGAGTGGGTGGCAGAGGCTGATGTGGCTTGTATCGGCTGCTGATGTGGCACTGCTGTCTGCTGACGTGTCACTGCTGATGTGGCCGGCTGATGTGGCCTGCTGACGTGGCAACTCACCAATGCCGCAGCAGAGAAGAAGATGAAGATAGAGGAAAAGAGGTGAGAAGAGGAGGGAGCAGCGTAGATGGGATGGGTGGGAGGGGAGAGAGAGTGGTAACTAGTACTCCCCCACCCCCATGGGGTCACATTGTTCGCCCAGATAAGGAGCCAATTATCAAAAATTGAAAAGTTTGAACTTTGCTTTAAGAAAAAATTTCGAGATAATAAAAATAATAATAATAATAATTTCAAAATCGCAAGTTCGGTAGGTCTTCCAATCCCCAAAGCCAAGTGGAAATAATAATAATAATAAAATATTTCAAACTTCCAGACTGCGAATAAAACAAATAAGTAATGAAACTGCAAAAATTTTTTTTCGCAAGTTTGGGAAATTCCGAATTAAAAAAAAAAAAATTCAAGATATTCCAGATGAGAGTAGACACAGCAATTTCCGATTTTGAGAAGTAGAATCCCCAAAATACAACTGCGAAGAGAGATTTACCTAAGAAAATAAAATTTCGGAATGTCAAAGCAACGGGAAATTCGAAATTCAAAAAAATAAAGAAGATCGAAGTTTCAGCTACTAATTAATGCGCAAAAATTCGGAATTTATCCGCGAATGACCATCACCTAGGTTATCCTAATTAATCGCTCAGTCAATCAATCAATCACTCAATCAATCATCCAATCATAATTAATCAATCAAACAATCGATCAATCAATCAATCGATCAATCAACCGATCAATCTATCCATCAATCGATTAATCAATCAGTCGATCAATCAATCAATCAATCCATCCATCCATCCATCAATCAATCAATCGATTAATCGCGCATCAGGTCGGATTGTCCTGATTCACTCGCGAGCTCCGATACCAACTGATACATGTTCAATCGAGTGATGTATACGGAGCCAAGGATCCACAAAGTGATGAAAAGGACTTGAATCGACAATGGAGTGTCAGCAAAGCATCAACGAGCAATGTACATCCAGACACATACGGAAATAGCGCAATGTAGCGCAAAGGAGGCTCAAAGATATGACCTGACCTGTCAGATACTGACGCGACACCCCATCATATACCACACATGTGAGAGTGAGAGGAGGGGCTGCATACATGGAAGAAAGGGCCCTCCTTGAGCACGCACATGGGGAGATGCAACGGAAGAGGAGATGGGGGGAGAGGCGAGACGAAGATGGAGAGGAGGGAGAAGACCAAGATCGTGCTAGCGAAGTCCAAAAATAGTCTCCCCGCCGAATGTCCAATCAATGTCTGGCACAAAAATGTCGAATCAGATCCTGGTCCTCATAGACCGATGTAACCTCTGTCTGTCATCTCTCTCTCTCTCTCTCTCTGTGCGTGAAAGAAGAAGAGGAAGAAGAAGAAGAAGGAGGAGGAGGATGGAGGGCGAGAACTGGAGGAAGAAGAGAATGTCGTCTTCCTCTCTGTCTCACCTGCAGGTAACTGCCGCCACGTACTAGCTGCCGCCGGCGTGTCTCTGATGCAGGTTGCTGGCGTGGACTCCAGTTATGACGCCCAGGTAAGTACCGCCGCTGCAGGTATGGCCACCGCCTCTCTCTCTCTCCCCCGACTCCTCTACATCTAGCGCAGTGCTGTGTCGCGCTGCTCCAGCAGCGTGTCGCCCAAGAAGTGAGTTACTCGAACTGTCTATCTGCCCTGGCCTGGCCCAGCTATATGTAGCGCTGGGCCTCGCTGGTGTGCCTCTGGTCCTAGCCTGAAACGGCCTGCCTGGGTCCCTACCGGACGTCCAGGCCCTCCCTGCTGATGCAGCAGGGAGTGTCCGCTATTGGACGGACACGAATCTGGCCCGAAAGGGCCTGACTGCCAGCGAAGAAGGCCCAAAACGTGGCCTTTGTCCGAACAGACCGAAAGTCTGTTCGGACGAACTGCAAGTCTGAAACGACTCCTGGACGGCCAAAAGTAGGACAGCAAATAAATAAATAAATAAATAAATAAATAAATGCTGCCTCAAATGAGTCAAATCGAATCCTGTGACCCTAAGGTTGGCTGTGGACCTCCATGGCGCATGAGTGAATGGGGTGCGGCCTGGAGGGCCCCAGCAGCTGTCGGGCCCCCGAAACGGGGCCTGTGTGCAGGCTCAACAACGACTTGCCTCTGTCCCTGATATGTCTTGCGTCCACTTCATGTATGCCATGGACCTTCAGATGGATTGCATCAGGGTGCTGTACGTTTCCGTCTATATCCTCCCTTCTCATGTTCAGTAAAGTGATAAAATGCCTGCTTCTAGCATACATGTGCTATAGTAAGCTTCTCCATGTGTATCTGGAGGCCAAGTGGTGGAGCTGTGCATGGAGTGGGGTGGAATAATGGCTGGTTGATGACATGTTCAACATTTCTCAGAAGCAGAGGCTGAGACGTAAGGAGATTGAACGCATGATTTGCACATGCCAGTTGACAGTAGGTGCTGTGGCAGTCAGTATCTATCTGTTTATCTCTCTCCTGTACAGTCGAGGTGCAGAAATTGGGTGGATTCGTTTCCACCCTCCTCCCCCCCCCCCCCCCCCCCCCCCCCCCCCCCCCCCCCCCCATTTGCTGGAGGTCGACCGTCTACCCCTGAATTTAGACGGCGCGGTCATTATAGTTTTGTTCGGGGTGACTTTCAGTCCAATATGAAGCGATAACGACCGTGGTCTGTTCTATTTTTAGGTGAAGACGGTAGGAATATGCTGAAAACAGCTACCGTAGTCCTGTCACCAGCTGGCTTAGGGCTCTCTGCTTTCTCCCTCGTATTGCACTCCGCTCTGCTTCTATCTCTGTATAATTCCTTGGAAGAATTGTGATTTGTTCCTGTCTGTATAAATGACGTCATCATCCCTCCAAGGAATTATGCTGATGGCAAATGCAAAGAAACAGCAACCAGCACAATCATGACGTCGATTACGTCTCGTGAATTGTGTTTGTCGGTTGCTGTTCCTTTGTTAGTTTCATTCCTTGGAAATTGGAAAGCGACATAAGAACACAGACAGAAACAAATGTTAAACCAGCAGTACATCCGAGGCTGAATCTACCAACTTGAACGAAGCGATGGGCACCAGCCCGGGGAAAATTCAGGGTAGCACCCGTACCACACTCTGTGGTCGACCAGCTGCCAGCAGATGGAACAGAAAGGAGGCCATCATTTTCTAGTTTTCACTCATGTGGCACCCAATCCTGGCCGTAATCGCGGTCAGATACATTCAGGAAAAGTGCTGGCGTGAGAATGCCCTGAAATGAAAGGGCCTGACAGGGAAACAGATTGCTCCCCACCTATTGAAAAACAAACAAACAAACAAACAAAAAACACACAAAAGAAAGGGCATACTAAGCTCGGAACGTGATTGCTTGCCTCACAGATTCATCCACGGCTGGCCAGAACTGCAGTCAGATACATTCTGGAATGTGCTAGTGTAAGCAGCTGAGGGGATCCATTGCTTCAGTCGTGCACGTAGAAACGTGCGCACAGCGCGGACCACCAGGACATCTCACAGTCCATTTGCCCTTTTTTGCTGAGCCTACCGGCTTTCTCCCCCTTTGCTTTACCGGGCGTTTCCTGAGCCCCAATATTTTCAGAGTAGCCGACGAGCCAAATCTCGACAAGGCTGGGGCCGTGTGCTAGCGGTTTAAAGATTTTTTTTTTTTTTTTTTTTTTCACTATAAGGACCACTTATGTTTGAAAGGTTGATGTCAACTCACGGTGTGCTAGTAATGTTATCCTCCCTAACTTTGTAGATGATTGATGAGGGCATGTCTGTCTACCCACGGTCTAATTTTGTTTTAATTACTGGTCAGTGGTCTTAGATTTTTTTTTTTTTTTTTTTTTTGTCTCAATGAAGTGGTCCACTTATCGAGTGCAGAACCAAACACATGGCATTGTCAATACATGGCCTTGCACGCCACCGGATTCCATGGATTAAAGGTTGATGTCAACTCATGTCAAGAGTTTGAAGATTACAGATCATAAGTTAGCGCTCAGAGATCAAAGATCAAACCCTATTGCATGCAGGAGTGGCAAGGATTGTTCTCGCGTTTGCATGCTTCCGAAAGACAAGAAAGAAACGAAGAGGGTGGGTGGTTGATAGCCGCTTTGGAACGCACATAATGTATGTAAGCATGTGATCCTCCTGCTACCTATGATCGGCCTGCCTGTGCACCGGTTGTCGGTGTGTCTCTCTGTGATGATGTACAGCAAGGTCACCATTGACTCTGGGCTGCATTTGAGGCACAGCTACACTCCAGATTGGAATGCCGACGCCAGCGGCAGTCATGTCAACCACAATGCATACTGCTTGGGGTGGAAGCATGGTCGTGAAATCGTCCATGAGTCGGGGGGCCTCTGGCAATTGCGAAGCTTCCTGGGTGCTGCATCGCTGCCACCCCCGCCCATCGCCTCAGTCTTTGGCGATACCTGTGGGGACGGCTTGCAAGCTTCTTGCAACCGCGCCCCCCTCTCCTCTGCAGGCGCGGTACACACATTTGCGTAATGGTAGAATGCCCGTCTTTCCGGGATTGACGCGATCTCCACTGGTGAGGAAATCCTTGTGTGTACGATGTGCGGCAGAGGCGACACAGGTCGAGACGAAGGACCAAAATCAACCACCGCAAACATCTCAGGGGGAGGAAAAAAAAGAAGTTCGGATCTTGTCCATTACCGACGACACTCAGAGCCTGAGGGCACGGTGCCAGGAACGCTTGAAGTTTGAGATAGAGTATGGGTTGAAGCGGGGCACGACCGACAATGCGTACTTGATTCGAGGTGACAACTGTGTTGCCCTCATCAATGTCCCGGACGAGTCCTTTTCGAAGACGTTTGTGTCTGCACTGACAGGGGTCATTGGTCTCGACGAGATCAGCTACCTTGTCTTGGGCCATTTGTCCCCTAAACGTCTAGATGCCCTCTTCTCTCTTCTGAATGCCCGTTCAGCGAAAGACCCTTTGCAGGTTTACTGTTCCAACCCGGCAGCGAAACTGCTGCTTTCGTCGTTGCCGGAGGGGATCACGGATGGGCAGCAGCTCAAAGTAAACGTTGTCAAGGCTGATGGTGTTCTTGATCTTGGGAAGGGGCATAAGCTTCAGCTTCTGCTGACGCCAACGCCCAGGTGGCCCGACGGTATGTGTGTTTACGACCCCTTCAATCAGCTCCTCTACACACATAAACTCTTCTCTGCCCACGTCTGCACGGAAAGCGATTTCGACGTCGGTGGTTGGGAGTTGTTCGGGTCAGATTGGCAGTTCTTCTATGATTGCATGCTTGCCCCGACTCCGACTCAGGCAGCCTCGGCACTTGAAAAACTGCCAATTGTTGCACAATTCGAAAAGCCATCATACAAAGGGAAGAGCGGCCTCACAGTCGCGAAGGCAGATCTCAGTTTTGTCTGGTCGTCTATCATGCGGCTGCTCAATTTATCCCCTGACAAAGCGGCTGCGCTTGCTAGAATGCAAGCAGATGGTGACTCGAATGGCGCTCTGGTTGTCTCCGCAATCTGCCCCATTCATGGGCCAATCGTACGGACAGCAGTGACAGAACTCGTTCGAGAGTACCGTCAGTGGACAGAAGAGAAGGTGAAACAGAACAAGGATGTCATGATTGCTGTCATCTATGCGTCTGCCTACGGCAACACTGCGGCACTCGCACAGGCGATAAGTCGAGGTATAAGCAAGGCTGGCGTTGGCATCGAGACAATCAATTGTGAGTTTACTGGGAGTGAGGAGGTGGTATCCGTGGTCCGCAAGAGTGGCGGGTTTGTGATTGGTTCCCCGACGCTTGCAGGTCATATGCCCACTCCTGTTCAGGAAGCTCTGGGCGGCATTCTCAGGGACTCGAATGCACGTTCGAAGCCATGCGGCGTGTTCGGCAGCTTTGGCTGGAGCGGCGAAGCTGTGGATGAGATGGAGCAACGTCTCAAGGATGGCGGGTTCTCGTTCGGCTTTCCGCCAATCCGATGCAAGTTCAAGCCAACAGAAGCAACACTCCAGCTGTGCGAGGAGAGTGGAACGGACCTTGCGCAAGTGGTAATCAAAGCGCAAAGGAAGAAGGATTCGACTGCCAAGCCCACATTCTCCACAGCATCCGATGTTGAGCAGGCGGTGGGGAGAGTGGTTGGCTCCTTGTGTGTGCTTGCAGCGCGGAGCGGTGATGCTGAAAGTGCTATGCTGGCATCTTGGGTCAGCCAAGCAAGTTTTGTTCCGCCCGGAATAACCATCGCCGTGGCGAAGGACAGAGCTGTAGAAGGCCTCATCTTGCCTGGAGGGAAGTTTGCTCTGAACATCCTTGGGCAGGGGAAAGCAGGGCCAATTAGCAAACAATTGCTAAAGCCATTCAAGCCCGGCGAACCGCGATTTGGAGACCTTCCAATCTCCACTGCGTCCAACGGCTGCACTCTGCTAGACGATGCTCTGGCACACCTCGAGTGCTCAGTTGTGAATCGGATGGAGACAGGAGACCATTGGATTGTGTATGCTACTGTTGATTCTGGGAAATTGATTGACGACTCTTCATTAACTGCTGTTCATCATCGCAAGACAGGATCCCGCTATTGACCAGTCCCTCTATGTTGCCATCACTGCACACACACACACACACACACACACACACACACACACACACACAGAGAGA